ATAGCTAATGGAAAGCAGTTTGCAGCGTTAAGTGAACCTTTGATGCAGCACCTTTGATAATTGGTAACCTTTTATGGCCTTGTGCATTACTTAATATTCATAGATATATTTAGATGAACAAGCGTGGTATACTTATATATATATATATAATGAAGCTACTGAAGAGGACACAAATATTTCTTGCGAAATCTATGAATAGTGCAACTTTTAAAACGTTGGGGGTGGCGAAACACCCCACTGCACTAGCCCAGGGTTAATTTTTATTGAATTTACGAGACCGCGACACGCTTCGTATTATATTAACCGAATTCATTAACCTTGAAACGCATTTTCTACTCCACAGGACCTCAAACCTACTTCGCATAAACTGATAACGTAATAACGGGGTTTGATTTTATATTTCTGTATTCTTAGATCTTTAATAAGAAGAAATTAACATAAAGACTTCATAATTAATTTTGAAAAATCCAGAAAAAATTTATATCGGGATAATTAATATAAAACAAGATTTATCTTTAGATATTTATGAAGAATTGTTAAAGAAAATTTTTGAGGATTCAAATTTATAACTTTTACGCATATTTCTTTACCTAAAACACAAAATTAATTTATATTTAAAAGTAAGTCGACATAAATATTTTCCCGTTGAATATGACACGAACATAATTGATGAAATAACCCGATAGTTTAATTTTAACTTAATCGATAAATTTATAGTTCATCCAAATCATTAACTTCTCTCAAGATAACAAATTTGGCATGTAATTTACATTTAAAGTCGAGTCAAGAAAATTAATAAGATAGTCAATAAATAAACAAAAGATTTTTTCCGCTCTTTGAATTTTTGACAAGAAATTATTCTTCTCCGATTTGTTCTAACAACAATTATTAAAACTGTAATAATTAAATTTTGCGAATATTGAACAAAATGATTGATTATATTTAAATATTGGTTTACAGTATCAAATGGATGATTTTAAATCATTCATTAAAACAGAATGCCGATCAATTAAATTTAATTCTTTGTTTAACTTGAGATGCTGATATTTTATGAGAATATAAATGATTTTACATAACATCTCGATTCACATATTCCTCCGCAGTTTGAAATATGGAATATTCATTCTGAAGCGAAAATTACCTACTGACATGTAAGAAATTAAATATATTAAAGCTTGATTTATAAGAAATTAAAATAATTTAATAAACATTATCCTTACGTAATAAATCATTTAAACCTCTGTAGAAGTATATACTTTTCCTAGCCAAATTTAACGAATAGTCACGATTTGTATTTATTATTATTAAAAGAATGATTGTAATTTATCTAGCATTTCTATAAATATGATTCAAGTAGATTTTATTATTCCAATTTTTATATTTTAAATTATAATTATATGTATTTTTTTACAAAATCACAATGCGTAAAATTATATTTAATTTAATATGAATTATATTAATAAATTCAAATATTGTTCCAGATTACAAATTTACTTTTAGTAAGTTTATAAAAAAATAATCTCTTTATAGTTTAAAGTAAAATATATAGAATAATAGGCCTATCTAATATCAAAAATTTAAAAGAAAGTACTTAAATAAAATTAAAAAATTTAAGGAATAGAATCTGAGACGAAAGGAAATATGAAGCTGATGTAATTGAAAAAAAAAATGGAAACGAAAAAAAGTATGGTTAAGGACGCTACTTTTATTTTCTCAAAAATTTAAAAGGAATGCTGATATATAGCCTATCTGAGGTATTTTATACTTAAATTTAAAATCATCTGCCCAGGGTNAAATATTTCAATAATTTAATTGGTTTTCTAACCTTATAAAATATCGTATAAACAAACGTGATAAAAATAACAGTTCGAAAAATAACAAACCACATCAAATAGAAAATAAAGAATTAAAACCACGTGTGAAAATATTCATTAAATCAAATGTAAAAAAAAAAATATTTCAAAATAAAGATACTTTTTGACATTGAAAATCCATAAATCGATTAAAAAAAAGAATAAATATTTCAAATTTCTGTTTATAACAGATTTTTCATTAACGTGAATTTTACATATAAACATTCACAAAAATACCAACATCTCTGCCTGAACTGCTGCAAGAAAACTTAAAATCTATTTTATAATCTATTTAGACTAAGTTTTATAAATTATTTAACTTTAAAGCAGTGTTGTCTAACCGAAATTGTTTACTGGGTCAAAACCAAAAATAAAAATACACTGTGGGCCGCACATATTTATTTACAAGAAAGCATACAATTATACAGAGATGTTGGTATTTTGTATGTATTTTAATATGAAACTTGTTTTCAATTTTTTCACTTAATTTTTTAATGTAAAGAGGTATTTTTGATGTTGTACAACATAATTGGTTTTTTTTAAATTTTTATCGGTCAATCTATTACGCTTTTACATTTAACAATTTTCAATTTTGAGAAAAAAGATTCACAAAGATAGGTGATTCTCATTGCAGCTGTAATGCTCATTGCGTGTTTTTTTGGGGGGTTAAGGAATGTATCATTACAGACGTATTCTGTATAAAATTGAACTTTGTTATTGGCCTCAAACATATAGGGGAGATCGGGGCAAGATCGGCATGTTAAGCTTTACTTAAATTTTGTGTAATAAATACTGCTGTAAACTGAAAAAAAAGCTTTGCATATTGTCTATTGGAATGTTNTCTTTTAAAAAATGTATGTTAAAGCATAACTTATTATATGGCTCTTGATACTTTGGCTTCTGTTCAAAGTTGAAAAAATGTTTTTTCTCGCTAAGCCCATATAATTTTAATTTATTATAAATTAAATAATTAAAATTATTTCAAATTTTATGACTAACAAAATAAACCAAGAAATTGTAGTGAGAAAAGAATTCAGTTTTGAGAATGAACTTTAGATATAGCATAATCTCAATAATTACAGTAAATAATTCATAATAACCGTCTAAATATTATAAAACTTTTTAGACACTACACTAAACTTTTTCTCCAAAACAAATTAGAAAATGATTCTTAAATCACATTTATTGGTGCGAAGAAACTATAATTAAAAAATTATGGTTGGTTGTCGTTCATAAATGGCTTTTGTTATCTCGACTGATTATTTAAATAATTAATTTTTACACGACGAAACATTGGGCTCGGGTATATTAAATTTATATTAATGTATTAAATTTAAATATATTATATTTAATATAAAAAGTCATTGGCTTCTACTAATTTTCAATTACAAGCATTTTATTCTAATAATATTGAACTTTTTTATTTTGTGGATGATATATTTAATTAATACAAACTCGAAATAAAAATTTAAATAATTGAATCTAAATTTATATAGATAGTTTCAGCCCTCTTTGTAAAATGGATCAGAGTCTTCGTTTTGCATATATTTCATAAAAACTGACCTTGCTGTAATCTTAAACTTTTTATAAACATTTAAAATAAAATTATAGATTTATATAAACATAATTTATAATAATAAATTAATTGAATTAATAACAGATTTTTTTTTGTCACAGCTATATGTTGCACTTTGGCCGTTATCATATTTGGAGCTTTGGGTGACGGAAGAGACTGGATGCCTTATCCTGATCACAATTATTTATCTTGGTCATTTGGATTAGGTGTTTTGGGGGCCATTTTGGCTTTTATAACAGCAATTTTATTCTTTGCGGATGCTCTACTCGTTAAACACAAGCAGAAACATTCCACTCAACGCCAATCCTACAGAATGGAGCAAACCGAAGTGAAAAATGTTAACCTTTGATTTAACTTTTACAAAGATATTTTTATATTTTTAGCTAAATCTTTCAATTATTTCTATTTCACCATAATTTTATATATATATATACACTTACACTTCATATTTTATATATTTCACCCAATTTTGGCATTCACTTTATCACGCAAAATGCAGCATACAATTGTGTAACAGGAGTGTAAATAAACATTAATTCATTCATTTGTATCTCGTGATGTTTTTATACTAAAAATAAAATCTAATTCTAAAATCGATTTTTTGCTTACTCTTAAAAATACTTTCTCGGAAATTTAAACAAAACTAATAATATTTTGTTATACACGTTTTATTAACTTACTCTCTCTGGTCGTAAGTTGTCTGTTTGTCTGTCCAGATAAAATAACTCAACTTTTACACACTTTCCGATTTCCGATCTAGTTGCAACTTTATATATATACAGTATGTACTGTACAGTACCTACATATATATTATATGTAATACATTTGAAGCTTTGTTAAAAAATATTTAATACCGTTTTAATTTCTAATTGTACGTGATAAGGTATTATACATCATATTAATTTAACTATACATGTGATGTTTCATTGTAATAAAAATCTATACAAGGTAATTACTGCTTTAAAAGGGCCGCACAAAAACAGCGGGTTGGACATTGCTGCTTTAAAGAATTCCGAGTATATATAAGAATAATTCTGAATTAGATTTTTGAATATATAAATAGGCGCTAAAAGCTAAAATTATCTATGTAGAGCTTAGGCTATTTATAGTGGACTAGAGATTACTGTCCCCACATTATAACAATAAAAATCCTCTAGATAAAAACAATTTTACACTATAAATAAATAATAAGAATCAATAAGCGTGAGCAAATACATAATACACACATAATAAAAAAACATAAAATATAAAAGCTATAGACTAAAATAGCATTTTAAAATTCATTTTAATATTTGATTTTATTTTTTACATATAAATAAATTACTAATTAATGATTTTAAAAAATATTTATTTCTTCAGAATATTTAATAAATTATATTTACTAATTACAATGAACAAAACAAATTATTTTGAAATTAAATTAATTAGTGAATAAAAATAATGCAAAAGTAATTCGAATCAGAACGATTGAATTAAAAGAAAACGCAGCCTATTTACTATATTTAAAAAAAATAATTGGAAGATTAATTTTCAAAAATTTCAAATTAATGAGCTTATTTAATTGGTTTTACCTCTTGTGACATTAAAGCTCCTACTCTTTTCTCTTTTTCAGATTTGTAGTTTCTACATCCGGGTTGATACGGAGCCTCTAGCAGTTTGATCGTGTTCTCAATGGGAAAAAAACAAATTTTTTTATTAAAAACTTAAATAAATTATATAGATTTTTCTAATTTATACTATTAATAAATTTTACCTTTCTAACTCCGTACGAATAAAATGTATCCGGTAATAAACTGACTCCGTCGTATCTAGGGTTAGGAATTGTTTGTGAATCGTGTATAGTCATTCTAGCACGAACAGTTTTATCCATTTTTGTATATTCATCCTTTTCTAAATTCATACATATCAACAATTCTATAATATATAAAACAGCCTGTATTACACAAATACCGTAAAATGTAATTAAAACAGAAACATGCCTTAACAGAAAAACTTTCGGAACAGAGAGATTTTTCTACGTAAATGTCACTAGAAGCCAGAAAATTGTCTAACGTGGAAACTGAAAAGATTTTTGGGTACGAATAACGTAATTTAACCGAATAAAACGAAAAATTAAGATTTCACTTATTATGGATAAGTTAGTAAAATCGCCTCGGGCTGTAATGTGACTGCATTTTGAGAACGAGTTCAAACCTTTTCAGAGAGCCAAAAGTTACGTGACAAAGGACACACAGACACAGGGTCTTTGTTAAGGACTTAGTTTTTGATAGAATCGTCCGAGAATAGAATCAAACATTTTTAAGAAACGAGATCTTTTAAGATTCGAATGAGTTTCCGAAAATCAAATTATCGAGAACAAGCAACGAATGTAACTCTTTGTAAACAATGAAAATAAGATAACACATACTGCCAATTTTCCTTATACGAACTACATAGTACTGTAGTAGTTATTAACTAAGTAATACCGAGTACTTCAGAAAAAGTTGATTAACATTGTTGGTAATTACAAAGACTGAAGTTAATGATAACTAGAGTATTGAAATTCCTAGAAAAGTCAGATCATGGAATAACTTAATCTTTGTATTATTTTAATGCTATTAGAATTTTCGAAGGCAGAATGAAATCAAAGTTCTTGGTTCTCAAATTAGCATATTTACTGTCATATACCAGCAAGCCAGTAAGGATCGGCTCCGAGAATTCCTAGTATCCTTGCACGTGTTTTCGGTACCCCCGAGAACTTTGTTAAATCGAATGCTCCATCTTTACTTGGAATAGCTTTAAATAAATTTACGTTAAATGTAATAATAAAACGTGTTCTTGCGTACGTAATAGAAGTAATTTTACCTTAAAAATTAACTTGACTAAGAGTGGTGTAGTTTGGAATTTGAAAAAAAAAAACTAAAACTGTTTAATTAAAATGGAAACCTGTCAAAACTGAAAAAAATTTGGTAACTTGTGGGTTCCGATTTTTACAGATTCTACTATGTAATAAAATTATTAATTCTATCTACTTCTACGTCCTTACTGTTTTACTTTTGTTTCTATATTGTCTACTTGGATCTTGTTTATTAATAGAACTTATTATATTATATTATTTATCTAAGGAGTTAGTGTTTAATATCTAAAACAATATATTTAAAACATATTTTTATTAATGTACTTGAATTCATTAAAGTGAAAAAATTTAAATATCGTCTTTCTTTGAACGAGTTTTCATTCAAAAAATCCTATTTGAAATACGGGTATAAATTTATTTATTTTTTAAAATTAAAATATCAGTAAAGTTTTTCTTTTTATTTTGCAATGCATTGTTCTACCTAAAACTAAAGGTTATTAAAATTAATTTTAAATTTAGAATGATGCACTTATGAAGGACACCGATTATCTCAATTCCAAGTGACGTCTTCAATTGTTCTTCACCCATCGGTGGCCAGTGGTCAAGAATTAGTCAACGAGCCTGACCACTTGTCCACGTGTAGGTTTTTACACGTGTCTAATAGCTAAATAGAGGCCAGTTTTCCTTTGAAAGTCCTCCCGGGCCTTTGGCAGATCGCACTTCTGTACTTTTTCTATATAGGATTAATTCAATCAATTGTTCTACAAAGAGTAAATCTGTGCTAAATATTGTATTAATAGTAAAATGACATTATCTTTTTCACATTTATTTCTACTTTATTATTCAGAAAAATACAAAATTCAATAATATAAAATTATTTTTATGGTCTCTTATATATAAATATTTATTTTTTTATATCTCCAAACAATGAATAAAATATAAATATCTCAAATCGTAACTTAATAAAATATTAACAAGATTAACATAACAATACAATCTTAAAATATAAATATATCGCATTAAAATTACATAAGTGTATAGTTCCAGATTTTCGAATTGTCAAAAATATTCTGTTTAACTTTGTTTGGCATTTTAATAAATTATGAAAATGTCAAATAGTGAGTCAGTCGTAGTCAATCAATAAAAATATTTCAATTTTCTATCATTCATGAGCTTCAATGGAAGATTATTAAAATTACATCAAATGTCAAAATAGAAAATAATAATTTTCTCATATAATTCGATGTTTCAACCGGTCTCATATGACTTTGTGTTCATCAAATATGTATGGCGAGATGACGTTAAAAATAAAATTTTGCATATATTAATCTAAAGTTATTTCCTTTAATAAAGTTTCTGAAATTTGCGTTCAGCTGTTTATTTTTCAATAAATATAATAAACTTATATTGTTTTACAATCTTTATATATTTAAAAATACATTTTTCTAGGTTTTCTTGATTATTATTAAAATTAAAGTGATATGTAAGTATTTGAAACAAACTATCAGCAATAACATGTATTTATGTTTATAAAAATAATTTCAAATATTAAATCGTAATTAATTGTTATAACTTATAGGCTAACTCTATTTATTTGATTTATTTAAATACTTACATATTTGTCTTATTAACTTTACATATTTAATTTAAATCTAATTTAGAAATTATTGAACATAGTCTTATTTGTTAAAATTCATAAATTAATTTTTGGTTATAAAATTCAAACTTTTGCAACTTTGTTTATAAGATTATGTCTTATTTCTGCAACTTAACTAAGAAAAAACAAAAAAATAAGTTTATTATAAGCAGTTTTTCTTAATTATGTTAGTTTAAAACTCATACCCTAATTAAAAAAACTAAATTATTAAAATCATTTTTATTTTAAAAATGGTTTAAATCCAGTATTATTTACAATTTAAGTTTTATGTTCCTCATAGTAGACATACAGTACCTAAATAGTACTTCTCTCATAAATTGCCAACGAATACATGTAAACGAAACTTCCTCATAAATACAAAATAAAAAACCTTTCATTATCTGAGAATTCTTGTACAGTTTGCAATGCAAACAATATAGTTATCATCAAATGCTTGAATATCAAAATGAAAATCGATCTTGTATGCAGATCTCACTATTATAATTTATATAAATTATTAATATTTTAGATAGTTAATAATCTATTTAATACTAATTCTAGAAACGAGCAAATAGTGATGTTAAATCGAACTTTGACTATAGTTTTAAATTTGTTGTTCACAAAAGAAACTTCATTTATTTTCTGTAAATTAATATTTAGATATAAAATCATTATTATGATTAATATGCTAAGTTTATTATCTATACTGTGTAAACGACACAATATTAATGACGTTATTAATTTTGTTTTGACATGAATTCAATATATTTTTAGTTTGCGTTATTCTTGACAAAATGAATCAACTCACTTCGAAACAGTGAAAATTATATACAAGTTTTAATCTCCCCTTTGGTATGCAAATAGAAGCATTTACACAAGTCTATAAATTATTAAAAGTTTGTAAATTGTTATTTCCAACAGAAATTATTTTTGATTTAAAAAATTATATAATATTAAATTTAATTTTTATAATAATTAAAAATTGGGGGAGTGNACATTAATATAACATCAAACGGCGAAATTTTGTATTACATTAAATTTAATATTTAATACGATACAAAAAACAAATGCTTTAAATAAATCAAAACAAACAAATGTCTGATGGAAATAAATAGAGTTAAAAAATTAATGTAAAGGTAGAATAAAGTTAAAATATTAGAATTAATCCGAATCTTAATCCTTACAAACTTACTCCACCGCACACAAATATGCAAACATTTCCTATATAAAATAAGCACCGTTGCTATGCTTTCATGTATTCTCAGTGCCTGTCCTCATCTCACATCAGGCAGATGAGTACCACAAACGAATGGATATACCATTCGTTTACCCCGGGTAAACAAATGTTACGTTAATTATTGTTAGTAGTTTTTGATAATAAATGTTTATTATTAATAAAGTTTATCAGTAGACCGGTTGAAATATGACAGAATTAAAGTCTAAGATGACTGTTATTTAGAGGGAAAATATCCTAATGTTGCTGAAGATTAGCAGAAGATTTTCATTTTTGTTTCTTAAGGTCCTACAAACTATTTTGTGCTATATTTGAAATAACTGAGTATCTTTCAACTTCAGAAAGTTTATTTATTACGGTAGACGAAATAATACTAACTTTTAAAATTTTATTGCAATTAAAAACTTATCAAAATTTGGGATACAAAACTACCCCGTGAGTATAGTTGTATAGGCTAGATTTTGCCATTGTAACCGAGGATTAAATTACATTGCTGAATTTTATAGAATACTAGCAGACCCCGCCACGCGTTGTTGTGGCTCAAAATGTATTTATTATAAATGTATAACACTTCCCCCTTGGGGGGGGGGGAATTTTTCGAAAAATTCCTTAGTGTACATTTTCCTGACGTACTCTATTAAAACGCAATCAAAAACGCAAAAAAACCGCATCTGAAATAGTATAATAGAAGCCAAGTTCTTCACGGTAAGCCTTAATCCTGTCCATCCCCTCGGGGGGGGGGGGAATTTCGACATGTATATTATATAAAAACACGCGCATATTCGAATGCAGAGTTGTGTCAAAATTTCAAAGGAATCGGTAGGAACAAACGAACATTGCATTTTTATTTATATAGATAGATAGAAGATCTGCTTTAGTTCATTTTCACAGAAAAGCATAATGCCTCACAGAAAAGCAAACTTAGGGCGTCGTACTCGTAGCGCCATCTGTTGACATAAAAGCTTAACCTAGATTATATATTTTAATTTATATGAATGTTTAACGGAAAAATATACAGCCTATGTCCACCCTGGGGTTCCATTCTATATATTGGTGAAAGAATTTTTGAAATCGGATGAGTAGTTTCGGAGATGCTGCAAACAAACTTACAAACATTACCTCTTTATATTATATTAGTATAGATATACTCATTGAAAAAAGATTATAACACGCAGATGGAATTATCCGATTACTGTAAAAGTTGGCTA